TATCATCACCACCATCACCACTACTACCACCATCATCACCTCCATCAATATTATCCTCATGTCATCACCACCCCACCACCATCTCCATCATCACCAGAATGATGTTCACTATTAGCATCATCATCATCACAATACATCATCACCATTATCACCACAATGAAGAGCCTGATAGAAAAGGAAAGTCTAGAATGTGTTAGAACACAAGTCCTTTAAAGAGGCGGGGACAGACAGAGTTGAAACTGGTGAGGGGATACCAGACTACGAAGATACCAGAACATCAGACTAAGCAGTTCACTGTTTGCCCAGAGGCAATGGGAGCCTTGGAGAAGTTCTCAGCAGGAGAATATACAGACAGATTTGTGTTTCAGCAGAGCACCAAGCAGTCACCAAAGGAAGGGAGCAGAGGGAGAGAGGGATACCCACGAAGAAGACAGATCCATTCACCACCAGTCCGGGGCCTGGTCCTAGAATCTAGTGAAGTATGCAGGAGAAGGGATTGGGGAGCTGTGGGAGACACAGAAGCCAGACAGGGACAGGCCCTGCTTTCTCTGCCAACCCTTCCCTTCTCCCAGTAGCCCAACCCCCCTCAGCCAATGGACACAGCATCCCTGACTGTCTCATCTTCCAACTTTGCCCCAATTCCTCCTCCTGTCATGCCTGAAGTCCGGCTGACCGCCACATCTGACCAAGTCTACTTCAAAAAGTCAATGAGATAAGCTCAGTAGAAGCTCGGTCCTATATCCAACCACAGCAGGGACTGGACATTTGCTGAATGAACAATGTCTTCTCCCTTTCTGCAGTCCTGGGTTCAGGACGTGAACCTGCAGTGCAGTGCAGGGGCCCATCACTTCTCACCAGCCCAGTGTAGGAGCTTCCTCCACTGGCCTAGTTGCCCCTTCCTCCTCTCAAGATGTCAGCCTGATAACTTCCCTCAACTGCAAAGATAATCGTGTCCCTCTCTTGTCTCATCAACTAAAGGGTAAGGTCCAAATTGTTTAGCATGGCATCCCAGGCCCTGTGGAGCTGAGTCCATTCTGTCTCCACCGTCCTTCCGACTGCCGCCGGGCAACAGCCATGTTGACCCACTCTCCTTGCCTTTACCTCATTCTTTTGATCGTGCTATTCCTTCTTCCTGGGAAGTTTCCCCCCATCTTCTCTGCCTGGCCAACTTCAACTTAGCTTACAAAGGCTAGCTCATCTTCTCCGTGAAGCCTACTCCCTCCCTGACAGGCAGAAAATTATCTCCCTGACAAGATCCCCAGTCCCTCAAAGACAGGGACAGCTCAAACCCTGTTACTGTTATATCTTAATTGGCTGATTCCCTACCCTTATATTTATATTTTGTTCAATCCAGAAAATTCCCATTTGTGGGGCACTGAGAGGGAGGGGAGGATGGGCACCAGCATTTGCTGAGGGCTCCGATGGTCCAGGCACAGAGACGATATGGGAGACAGGGCCCTTCCCTCTAGCACACCTCCTGGGTCCACAGCACACTTTCCTTCCTTGCCTGCGTCTCTGAAACACACACTCACATAGACCCACACCAGTGCCCACACCCCTGCACACACATTCGGAGACCTGACCAATGCCACAAACACCATTCCTGAGGACAATGTGTGATGCCGGCTCACTGACACAAGACCCCACTGGTTCCCCACACGGGCCCATGCAAGGCTCCACCAAGGTCACAGAAGAGGGGCAGAGGGAGGAGGGAGTTGAAGCTGGGCCTGCTGGACACGAAAGTGCACACTGTTTCTACCCTACCTTGCTGCCTCCCCAGCACCTGAACACGTGAACCTATCAACAGTTACTCATTAATACCCAGTAGGGTTCCCTCTCCCCTTTCTCCCTCACCCGTCACTGCCACTGGGTCCCTCTCCCTTCCACCCCCCCACCTCCCTGCAGAGCCACCTCTGGTAAAGGGGGAGAGGACAGGAAGGACATGGCCCTCCATACCCCTGCTGTCCCCTTCCTAGGCCCCAGGATCCAGCCTCCTCCTCACTGGGAGGATGACAACAGAGGTGGGGACACAGGTGGCTTGGGTCCTAGGGACCTCTTCTCACAGTGACCTGTGCTCAGGGCATTGCACAGACAGAGGCTAGTTGACTGTAAACTGCTCAGTAAATGGCTACAAACCAGTCCAGACCGCCCCAGCACCGAACACCCTGAAGCCCAGGGCTGGCCCATGGAGGGGGCAGGGCTGGGGAGAGCCGGGCCCAGGCCCCCAGGAGCTTCCTCCCTCCTCCCCAGAACCCCTGAGCACAGCCACCCAGGTGGGAGGTGGAAGGAGGCTGCATGTCGTGGGGGCTACCCAGGACCTGGAGGCCTATATCCTTACGTGTCAGGACCCACGGGGCCCCTCGAGACACCCCCTCCCCCCCCCTTCCTGATACACACTTTGTGCAAATGAGGAAACAGGCTCAGAAAGGGAAGGCGCTTGACCAAAGTCTGCCCAGCAGTTAGAGACAGAGCCCAAGTTCTCTCCTTCTCTCCCTGGGTCCGTCTGACCAGTTGTGTGATCTTGGAAAAGTCGCTCATCCTCTCTGGGCCCTGAAGGATTACAGCTCCTGACATGGTCCACACATTGTTGGGAGGACCAGCAACAGTGAGACTGGAAGCTCTTCTCCTATATACAACACCCCACTCGTCACAAAACAGTCCTCCGTCCTGTCTCTTCTCTGGTCTTCATAATAACTCCGGGAGGCTGGAAGAAGTGAAGCTTGGGGCCCCTTTTACAGATGAAAGAAACCAAGGTTCAGAAAGGCAAAGTCCCACAGAGTTTGAGACAGAGCTGGAACTAGAACTCGGGACTCCCAAACCAGTGCTCTTCTCATCACTAAGTCACTGATAAGGCTAGGAGTACACTAAACGGAAGAACAGAGTACTGCCCCACCCACATCGGCAAGGTTACTGCAGACCCACTCCGGAACCCTCCTCAGCTCCTGGACACAGGGAAAGCCCTCCCGGGGGGAGGCTTGTACTTTAAGTCCTACGTGGCCAAGCTGCAACCCTGACTCTGACACTTGGGAGCTGTGGGAACTCACCTTTCTGAGCCTGGTACTTCTTCACTCCACTCTGAAATGAACTACAGACGGTACCAGAAATTTCCAGATGCGGATGAACTGTGTACTCCGCGAAAGCAGGAATGCCTGGCAGGCGGGAAACTACTCCTTAGCTGTGGCCACAAGCACAGAACCGTGGGTTGAGTTTCCTGCGTCTCCTTCATGGTTCAGGGTTCCAGACCCAAGGGGCTTCTGATTAGTCTTTACATGAGCGAGGCATGCAGGGAGGGACGGAGGGATGGAGGAACAGAAGGAGGGATCGAGGGAGGGAGGGATGCTCATGAGGGCAGAGGGAAGAAAAGAGAGAGGGGAAGAGGGGAGGATGGAAAAACCAGTGAAAGACGAGGGACCATACCCAGAACAGAAGCACAGTCCCCAACCCTCCTGGGCCTGGGCCAGTAGCCCTCCCGACGCGGCCACCGCCTACCTTGGGGTAGCATTGGCACATGCTCCAGATGACGCCCCCGATCACCATGATGCAGCCCATGGCGTAGAAGGTGCCGTAGACCTGGGGCCGGTCGTGGCTCATGAGGAACGTGCCAAGGGCCAGCAGGAAGAGCCCCAGCACAATGAAGCCGATGCGGAAGGTCTTCTCGTCGGCCATGGCTGCCTGGCCCGGCCCCAGTGTAAAGGGGGCCGGCGAACCCCTGCAGACACCCGCACACGCTCACACAGAGAAGGACGACGCTCCAGGACCGCTGCAAGCTGGGGCTCCAAGTTCAAGGGAGGGAGGCTGCCTCCAGGGCCAGCTGCAGTCGGGTGCACCGTTCACCAGGCTGGAGGAGCTACGCTTCGATGGCCCTGTGCCACCCCCCCTCCACCTTCGCTCCCTCTCACCTTCCCTCTGGGCCTAGCCAACGCTTGCGCGCGCGTGCGTGTGTGTATGTGTGTGTGTGTGTGTGTGTGTGAGAATCTGAATGAGGGAAAACATGAGGGAGGGACGGGGGAGGTTTCAGGGGCTGAGCCCTAGCCAAGACTTCAACATCACCTCATTTGCCTACATAGGGCTGAGCTGGGCTGGACAGGTGGCCCCGTGCCATCCGGCCAGGGAAGCAGGGTACAATCCCACAGCCAAAAGACACAGACGTGCTGCTGGAAGATTTCAGGGTCCCCCGGGCCAGCATTTTAGGATCCTGAAGCACTCTGGACTCTTCAAGGTCATGGGCCCATCTGGGGTTCAGGAATAATAGCCCTTATCTACTGGACAGTGGCTTGCAGGCATGACCCTGTTGTAAACGTGTTACAGGTATTAACTCACTGAAGGAGACCCCGTGAGGCAACTCCTACCAGCTCCACTTAACAGAGGAGGACAGGGGGTAGAGTGCCCAAGGTCACACAGGTAGAAATGGCACAGCAGCTGGAACTGGAACCCAGAGGCTTTGCGCCTAGCCACCATGGAGTACCGCCTCACTGGGGATGAAGGGCCAAAGCATGGGCTCTGGTGGCCAGGGTGCAGATTCTGGCTCCTCTGCCAAACTGCAGTGTACTCTTGATCAAATCCCCTCTCTGTGCCTCAGTTTTCCTCCCCTGTACAATGGGGACAATGACTGCAGCTCCCAGGACCAGCGCTGTCTCCAGGCCTAGCCTCCCTGGGTTCTTCTTTCTCATACTCTGTGCTCCTCCAGACCTGCTCCCAATGATCTGACCCCTAGAAAGTCTATGTGTGTTGATGCCCTGTAGGGGGGTCAATGACTGATGGGAGTCCCTGGCCTCCTAACTTCGAAGATGCCTTCACCCTCAGAATAGCATTCTAATGTTGGAGTTTCAGTCCTGAGGACGGGCTGATGGGAAAAATCAGATTCCTTTATGGGATTACAGGAGAATGAAGGCCAAGGGGATCTCTAGAGGAAGACGGTAACTTTCTAGTTTTTACAGGGTTAAATTGCCACGGCGGCGGGATGTGGCCTCCAAACTTAGTAGTTTTAGTGGCAGTGGGGGAGGAGGGATGCTGCCACCACATTCTCCCTCCTCCCCACCATGGGCTGTGCTTGTCCCGGGCACCACACCTATGCTCACACCCTCTGCCTGGTGTTCCTGCCCACAGACACTTTTTCCAGCAGTGACTTCTCCTTCACAGCCCTCAGATCCAGCTGGGCTGCACTCTACAGTTTGCAGGGAAAGGGTTGGGGGGGTTCCCTATAATAGCTCAGGAGACCCTCACAAATGAGATCTTGCCAAGGGGTCAGGAAAGGCTGAGAGTCACCCAGTCACATCCAGGTTTGATTCGCCAGGCGAACTTGGGCTGGTGGCTCCACTCTGGGCTTGAGACTTGTCACCTGTGCAAGTGGGTGGTGGGGAGTGCGGATGTGCTCCGTTTCCGTCCAGCGGGAGCCTCTCGCGCCCCCTGGTGGCCGTCATGATACATGCTCTGGAAGGCGCTCCGCACCCAGTTCAATCAGGCGTTTCTCTGTCCCTCAGCCCGAGGTTATCGCGCCCATTTCACAGGAGAGGAAACGGAGCCCGGGGAGTGGCAGGGACTTGCCAGTACCTCCCCAAACTGAGTCGGTGGCTAAACGAGGACAGAGACCCATGTAGTCGAACCCCAATGTAGATAGATCTGGTCCTTAGCCCTTCCAGAGAGGCCTCCCAGTCACCCGAGCATTGTCCTCCGCACCCCACCTTTTATCTCCTCTGCACGACCCAGCCTCGGTTCCCTCTTTTCTCTCCTCTTAAAAAGGGGAGTGACAGCGAGTAAACTCTGGGACAAGTAGATGCTCCCTAGAAGGGTCTCATATAACCTTTCCCAGAGAGCCGCGGTGATGGTTACAGGGGAACTGTGTGTCCCGTTCTCCCTGCTTTCCGCCGCTCCCCTCCGGCCTGCTTGCGGCCTTTCCCTTCCAGCCAAGCAGGGGTCAGTGGGAGAGCAGGTCAGAGATCTTATCTCCCAGTAGAGGGCGCTCTAACCGCTGTTTTCTTCCTCTCAGATCCACTCAGGATCCTTCCGAGATCCTCAGAGGCAAACAGGGAAAAGATCACACCAATTTGACAGATGCAGAAACTGAGGCTCTTGGAGGCAAGGTGAGCTACCCAAGGTCACAAACCTTGTAAATAGCAGAGCAAGGAATTCAAACCAGGTCCCCAACCAGTCTCTTGCTAAACACCTACTCCCTGCTGGACACCCTGAGGTACGAGGCCCTCTTGATAAATACGGGATTTCAGAGAGCAGTGGCACTTGGTCCCACTTTCTGGGCCACAGTAAGGCTCTGAGACGTGGGTGAGGCCCAGCACGTGCACAAAGAAGAGAGGGGGTAGACTTGGGGGAAGGCGGGGAATGGGAGGAACAAAGGGACAGATTCATAGAAGGGATCCTTGAGAGGTCATTTAGAGTTCTGTCAGGGCAGGAAAAAAATTCCAAGTGATCAGCAAGTTCAAAGGCCCAGGGGTAAGTAATGGCTGGAGTGAAAACTCTAAATGCTAAGCACACCCTCGCCCCCTCACCACCTTACCCTGCATACTCTTCCCCTACCTCCTCAGACCTGTCCCTCCCATGTCAACTTCATCCTTCCAGCATTATTCAGGCCATTACTTGGGTATCCCGGCCAGCATCCTTACCTCCTCTTCACACCCATATCCTGTTGGCTCTACCTCTAAGATGTAAGAGTCCAATCACTTTTCACCCCAAATTCTACCCATCACTCTGGTCCCAGCACCCATCATCTGTCTCCCTGAATGGTCCCTGCTTCTACCCTTGCCCCCTGAAGTCTCTTTTCAACCCAAATGCCAGGTCAGGGCATATCATTGCTCTGCTCAGAACCCTGGAAGGGCACCCTGTTTTATCAGAGTAAAAGCCAGAGACCTCAAAACAGCCTACCAGTCCCTGGATAATTTGTCCTTGCCACCCACCCAACGCCCTCCACCCTGAGCTCATCTCCTGCCTGGCCTCCTCTTACTACTCCAGCTCCCTGGCTCCGTACTCTTCTCAGAATACAATGCAACCCAAGACCTTTGCACCTGCTGTTCCGTCTGCCTGGAAAACTCTTCCTCCAGACACTTGCCGACCCCCTCCCTCTCCTTCTTCAAGCTTTTGTCCAAACGTCATCTTCACATTGAGGCCTTCTGCTTTGACGTCAAAAACTGCAGCACTTCCTCCCCCCAGTGTGTCCTCTTTTCCTGACTGGTTTTTCTCCAGTAGTACACATGTGCATCTATCATGCTAGTTACATTGTTTATTCGTCTCTTGTCTGTCTCCTGCTAAGGCAGGGGGAACTTTGTTTTGGTCACTGTTTTAGCCCCAGGGGCTAGAATGGGTGAGGTTCTTGATTGATACTGTGGAATGGAGTGATGCGTAGAAGTTCCAGAAGAGAGGGAGAGGCCAGAGAGAGAAGCACAGGCAGGCTTGAATGAAACTCCTGGCTCTGCCATTGTTCTCTGTCATTTTACTTATCTGAGGCTCAGTTTCCTTGCCTGGTAAATGAGAACACCACCTGCAGAGCAGCCGTGATGATGGGAACAATGCAGAGGCCTGCCCTGACTTGCAGTCTGCCCTCAGGGAATGCTGCCCTTATCCAGCTGATTGAACCCCAGGACTTTGAAACTGCTTGCTGTGTGACCCTGGGAAGGTTACTTAACCTCTCTGAGCTGGCTTTCTCATCTGTAAATGGGGTGAGGTAGAAATGGGGGATGCAGAATGTAGCTGGGCAAAGAACAGACATTTCTACCACATCTGGAAAGTAAGTCTAGGTAATGAGCTCCCTGTCACAAGAGGTATGGGAGCAGAGCCCAAATTTACACTGGTTGGAGGGAGGTTACTAACAATATCTGACATCTCTGGGTACTCATAGACACCTGCCCCTGGGCTAAGATGTGCATTTATTCTCGGAAACATTAATACTGTGCCTGTGGGGTCACTGTGGCTCCCAATGCCAGCTGCTATCACCTCGTGTATTCCTCACAACTCAGCTCCTCGGGTAGAACCTGGGCCTTTGTCTCTCCCGATTCCCATTTTACACAGGAGGAAAGCAGGACAGAGAGGCAAAGCCACTTGTTTGTTCAAGGTCACTTGACCAGTATGGGGTAGAACCCATGCCCAGGAGGCCTGAATTTGGAGCCCACCTTCTCCTGATCATAAACTCCATGTGTGACCTCGGGCAGTCCTGCCCCTGCCTCTGGGCCCCCCTCTTCCCGCCTGTACCACAAAGTTCCCCAATTGACAGCCAGCGCTAACGGCCAGTTGGACTACAGAAGAACCATCTGGCCGGGCCCAGGCAACCCCTGGCATCACGAGAGATAATAAGACGGATTTATTTGAAGCAGTTTTTTATACAGCGACAGGTAAATACAAGAGCATTCAGCAGCAATCATTTGTCACGTGCCTCGTGTGTACCAGGCCCTGTACTGCACACCAGAAGCTCATCACCCGGCCCTGGCTCTGGGGTCTGCTGGGGGCCTTTACCCTCCCCCGCCCGAAGTCTGAGCCGGGCCTGGGCAGGAGCCCCTCATGCCGGGAGCTGTCTCTCCAGAGATGTCGTGCACGGCACCAGTGATACTCTCGTAGTTGGGCGGCTGCAGGGGGCGCTGGGTTCCAAGCAGGGCATCCCCAGAGGCACAGCCCTTCAGGCTTTCCTGCATGGGGTCCATGGGTGCTGTCGGGGGCCCCTCGGCGAGTGGGCAGCACACGGCCTCCTCGTAAGTGGGGATGGCAGCCACCGCTGGGAGCCTGCGGGACAAAAGAAGAATGGCTATAGCAGGGGCGAGGGCGAAACAGCAAGGAAGGCTGGGGCTGGGGAAGACTTCATGCCATGGTCCAAACCGTCTGTGGGCCCCCCAGCACCCTGGCTACACTCCTGGAGCATGGCGTGAGCCAGCCCTGCCGGCCTCAGCCCTCCCACTCTGCCCTCCCTGCCCACACAC